GGTCAGGTCAGGTCACTGACCTATGACGTCATAAGTGAACCTCTGCACGGTCTTCAGATGTCGCAACTTCGCAACGCCCTCACTGCCAGAGGAGATGTCACAGGGAAATGAAACTTGCAGGATCTAGTATCCATTATGAGTCTCACAACTTGTATATCTCGGATTTTTCCTAAAGGTCATATGAGGTCAGGTCATTTTTCGTGACCTCACCATTATAAGTCAATGGGGAAAAATTCAAACTGCTATTCTGGCGCCGGGAACGATCTCCAACTATCTCAAGCACACAGAATCGTGATTTGATGCACTCCTTGCAAGGTTAGATGCGTCACTTTTGCAATGTTGACCTTCCGTGACGTCATTTATGACGTCATCAAGGTCATATTAGTTTTTCGTCAATAACTCCCGATCAAATTGAGCTAGCGAGTCGAGAAAGCCACCAATGGACTCAGGAAGACCTGCCGAATCGAATGATATGCGACATGACCTCTTTCGACCAACTTCGTGACCTGGGGGTGCTGACCTGACCTTGACCTGAGGTCAACACCCTAAGTTGACCTGACCCGAACAAAAAGTATATCATTCGACGCGCCTGAGCGAGGCGAACACGATGCTGCCAAAATCGCGGCTCTGCGGCCGTTTTTTGCGAAGTTATTCACCAAAAACTGAACCGTACCCTGGGGCACTTGACCTGACCTCAGAGGTCACCGGTTGACCTAGGACCTTAAAATCGGGTACCAATCTCTGCGTCTCGTAACGGCGCACACGCTCGTTTTTTCCGCGGCGCGCTAGCTCCACCAGGGGCGAAACGGCGAGGGGGGGGGTCGTACCCGCCCCCCCCCCCCTCGGCCGGCGCGTATGTAGAAAACCAATAGGTCCGGCGAGGGTTAAATTCATTTTTTCATTACGTTTTTGACTTCGTGCAGTAATTTAAATGGCTACATCGTGTTCCTGAGCTCAAACTAGGCATCTGATAGACACTGTTGTCTTGAAAAAAAAAAATCATTTTCAAATTTTGACCATTTTTGACCTAGGATGACGTGGCCTTGGCCTGAAAAGTTCGAAGTGCAAGTTTGGTACCCTCAGAGTATCTAAGTCATATATCAAGAAGAGCGTAAACCAAAAATGAGCCTGATCGGACTTGTTAGCCGGCGGCCTGAGCCTAAGTTGTGAACAAACCAAAATGCTGATAGTTTTTACTTTAACCTGACCTGTGACGTCATTGGTGACCTCGAGGTTAATGAAATCAGGTTTCATTCGACAGTGTTCCAGGGCTATCAGACGCCGTTTGAATTGTGACGCTCGGCCCAGTAGTTTCAGAGATAGGGGGGGGGGCTCTGAAGACCCTCCCCCCTCAGTCACTCACGTTATGGAAGGTACCCCAGTCATGAGTGGGTTAAAAAGCTGTCAGCGGTGGTTGACACCTATGACACCTACGCCTGCTGTTGAGTGTTGACCTGGCCTGACCTGACCCCACCTACCTCAAAAGCATACATACATCATCTTGGATGAAAACTGATATGAAATGTCCCAAATTTCCGACTTTTGGGTCATTGCCCTGACCGGATGGTGAAACAATGATCTGCAGGAATTTCCAATTGGGTATCATCGGCCTCCTTTCGGCTACGGGCAGCACGCTCTTTTTTCGCGAAGCTTTGGCTCGATCAGGGGCCGAACGGCTGGGGGTCCAATGCCACGGACCCTCAACCCCGTTACGTTAACGTCTGGCAACACACCAATACGGCCTATAGGGTTAGGTATTTTTGGATAAAAAAAAACGGTCATCTCTGGTCCTACATAGTGTCAGCCTTGAATTGAATGAAGTCTACATGTTTTACCTTTTTCATTACACATAAAAGAAATCCAGCACATCCATTACCCTACCACTGACGGCTGATGAAAATATCATTCCCATATTTTCCGGGGGCAAAACAGGAAAGCTTCACATACCATCCACATGCGGTTACAGAAACCTAATGTTACAAGTAGTGCCATCTATGAAGTACGCCATGTAGACTGCCTATGGCATAAACTCGCTGCCTCACGATGTCGCTGTCTCTGCTGTCTGGGAGTCTGTCGACCATAGAGCTGCCGAGCCGACGATGGTCGTCACTCAATTGAGCCGTTTTCAATGCGGTTATCTGGGTCACATTTGGTACGATTTGGACAAATTAGGTCCATGACTCATTCTCAGTCATTTTCAGCATGAGCTGTACTAGCTGCTTATATAGTGCCTATATATTGTCGATGATGATGTCTTTGAACGAATGTATGTGGCTTAAAATCACCCGCGCCCTGCTGGGGAGGGGGGAGGGAATTCTGCCGCATCCCCCCGTTTAACTTCCAAATCGATGGCCGTAGAAAAACGGGGAAGGCGACGAAAGTGATTCAGGCGCTTTAACTCCGTTCTTGCTTAGGTTTGCAGTCACTGCTTCTCGCAACGGCGCACGTGCTCGTTTTTCCGAAAGATTTATAATTCCACATTAACCCGGCACCGCCTGGGCTATTTCCGTACCCACGACAGCCTGGGGGGGTCGGATCCGACCCCCCCCCCCCTGTTATCTCGAGAACCAATGGTCGTATCGAGCCCCGCGAGGCGGCGTTCGAAAGGTCTCTACGAGACCTTCCCAAAGCACTCTTAAGATTTTAAGAATGAGGTCAACTTTCGGGTCAAGGTCAGGTCAAAGGTCAAATTCAGGGGTTTTGCATGATTAGGCTTACGGACAGCGGAATCGATAGCTGCTGCTCGAAACTCACCAAAAATGACCTCAAAGGCCTAGTGAAGGTACCATGTGCGTATAGGGGTCATACTAAGTACGGGTCAAGGTCAGGTCAGGTCACGAAAGGTCATGGTTTTCACTTTCTGCTACATGGGCGTGCGACACATGTTTTATGGTTTATTTTTGACGCCGAATCCGATGGTAATGGTTATATGTGACCCCAAGTCACTGTGCTGGTGCTAAGTGTGCATTGAAAGCATAAAAAATCGTTTATACCATACATAACTAAACGAGGGCCAAGAAAAACAGTCAATTTTTCAACTTTTTATTTTTGACATAAAAATGCACTTTTCTAGACGAACTTTGTCCCAGGAATCTAGTGGTGCCATTTGTTTTCACATGCACTGTTCAGAAGTGCCTCTGATTCACGAAAATGCTTATGACGTCACCATGCCATATGCATGTTGGAGCTATTTTTTACAATTTGGGGGTCAAAAATCAAGATAGAAAGTTGAAATTTGGGACATCTAATGTTCTGATAGAGCTCTATAACATGTATTCCGGTTTTTTGGAAATTCCCAAAATTTTGGATTTTATTAGCTGTTTTCCAAAAAATATAGTTTTTTGAATTTTTAAGGGTAAAAAACACATTTTATGGAAAATCCGAGATAGCCATTTTAAATAACTCGTTGAGCTGCATCTATTCATGTCCTTAATTTGCAATTTGCTTAAAACCTCGATTTTTGGCGATTTTTTAAACATTTACCATTTTTTTGACTGAAAACGCCATTTAGTTACATCACTAAAATCGATTTATCTAAAAAAAAAATGGAAATTTTTTCTTTAAAATTGCACAGGAGACGTCAAATTGATGGGGAAGAAGGTATGCCAAGTTTCAAGTAGATAGCGTAAGCGGCTCATGAGTTATTCAAGAAAAACGGAGGGGGGTCGGATCCGACCCCCCCCCAGGCGGTCGCGGGTTAAAGACATGCTTATGCCGTGTCATATGGGGCGCTCTCTGTGGTCAGGAGTATGCAAAGAAGGTGATGGATAAACATGTAATCATGCTGACACATTTAAGCTGTTAGAGCAGACGGTGTAATTGTAATTTTATTTGGAGCCATTTTTGCCTTAGTAGGTCAGAGGTCAGGTCAAGGGCAGGTCCAAGGTACAAAATGCAAGTTTCTATATTATCGGCATCGGAGTGCACTGGGCGAAGAATGAACTAAGAATGATAATCCTAAACATCCCGTAGCTCAGACGGTAGAGCGTTGGACTCCGCGTGGTGGGACCACGCGTTCCCGGCTGCAACAGTCCGGGTTCGAAGCGCGACGGGCGCTTGACGTTTATGGGCCTCCTGACTGGTATGGTTGCGGTTAGTGGCAGGCCAGTGGCCACATCCAGGCGAAGTCAGTAAGGGGACCGGCCGTGCGCGGCTATGTGCGCATGTTAAACTTTGGACTCTTAATTCTGCCATAGGACCGGAATCGTGCGATCGGAGGGGAGGGCAGGGTCAACGCAACAAGCTTCGCTTAACGGGGGCTCTGTCCATGTGAATCCTTCCAATCAGAAGGTTCGAACTAAAATTATAAAATGTGTTTTTAGGCTATCAAGGCAAGATAGCCGCATAAAATGCTGCTCAAATGTCAAGGTCAAGGTCAGGTCACCAAAAACGAGTTATTGAAAAGGGCATGTGCGGCACATGTTTTGTATGTTATTTTCTTCACAGAGCTCAAAGGGACACACTCAGTGATAATGACCACATTTAGATAAATTTCATGTCAAGGTCAGGTCAAGAGAGTTCAAATTTTGAAGTTGATTGTTAAGACCTAAAAGGTATTCATCTGATACAGCTTTTCACGACGAATCGAATGGTGCATTTTTTGTCCCATACTAGAACCAGTACTTCAAAAAAAAAAAAAAAACATTTGATGCGTCTTCATCTTGACGTCAAATGAATTTGAATAAATCCAATATTTTTAGCCGATTCTCTTAAAAATTGGAAGGTTGGTGCACACAGAACAGTCGTCGTTTGTGGGGTTAGATGGACTAGACAGACTATACGAACGTTCCAGTCCACACAAAAGATGCTTGATGTGTATTGTGCCTACGCTTTAGTATTCTTTTTCACTTCGAATGTCTGTCGCTTGTCAGTTGTCACCACCAGCCAATGGCCCGGGTGAAAATGTATGTGAACGTGGAATTGTCCGGCTCATCTTGTATCGATGTGCTACGATCGGACCACTGCCGTCGCCCGGATTCCACGTCTGCGATACAGTCACGGAACATGGTTGCTGTGTATTCTCGCCATGCTGAATGCGACATTGATACCGCAATCAGCGCTATATCTCACATATTTTCTCAGGAAATGACATCGTGGAGCCAAGGATACATGCGGACGTGTACTTGACATATTGAACGCAGCAAGCTAACGTATTCAAAGCGATAATCTAAAAACCTTCTCGCGAAGCAGGATGGCTAGACTCAAGTGCTTTCCTTGATAAAACACTTAGCAAGTTTTCTATTCTTTAAATGCGTCGTTTGAATTGACAGTGACAGCATAAGCTCAACACTTACATGGCGTGAGGAAGCTGTCAAAGTATCGCTTATTCACTATCCACGATCATTCCGATCTGTCAGCAGTCGTCTACGGACGATACAACAGCGCGCCAATGCCCCCTTCCAATAGACAAAGTCAGGTCAAATGCACAGCGGTTCGGTTCAAGCCAGCTGCGCCTCCAGACGCTCCAGGTCCTGCAGTGTGTCTAGCCGCTGCTGCTGCTGACCAGTCTGCCGGTCACGCTGCTCCTGGTCCTGTCTCAGCCGGTCGAAGTAGTTGTAGCTCGTGAAGAAGTCCACAGAGGCGTAGTGCTGCTCCGACTGGTCGCAGGGCATGGCGGCCGGCGTGACGCGGCAGCTCAGAGTTCGCTGGTCGAACACCGTGCCGTTGTTGCAGAAAAAGCTGTTGGTAGGGAAAGACAAGCCGATTAGACTGAGCGTGGCCGACTCGGGCGGTGCTCGATGGTATGACCGCCTGCCGTGAACGAATAGCTACTAGGTTTAACATCGAAACGGGGTTTAATGGCAATCTGGTAACTCTATTTGTTACACTATGACACAGAGGCGGATCCAGCTCAGAGTTTTTTTGTGGGGGGGGGGGGGGGCAAACCATAACAATTTTTCGATTCTTTCCATGCATCGTCCATAGGCGTAATGTTAAAATTATGCCGCTTGGGGGGGAATGCCCATTTTGCCCCCCCCCCCCCTGGATCCGCCACTGCTATGACAGAATTATATGCACTATGCCATCAATGTTTTGTGAAGCATTTGTTGTGCCAGTTTCAAACGCATAACACTAGGGCTAGAGACAAATACACTTGACAACTCATTAATATACGAATAAGAATCGTACAAGAACCGATAAGAAGACACAGCCGCTAATTTTAGTCAAGGACCAAAGCCGCTTATGTTCTCAACTCCACGCCTATCCACGGTTCTCCCGTGTTTGAAGGTCGCTCAACTGTGCTACAACTGTGTTATAACGGTTTAGACATGAGTGTTTGGAGGCGGCTCGGTTTGTTCAGGCCATCCTCCCACTTGGGTTTGATGGAGCCCACCTTTTTTTCTTTATCTCACCTTTTGAGTGCATCGATCATCTCTGATCCTTGTCAACGGACATCCTGTGTCTGAGCATCAGCCTCATGCATTTGAGTGCTTCTCGCCTGTGCCTCTGAGCATGGATCTCCAGTCACGTAAGTGTTTCCCACCATTGTTAGAGTGCTGTTCACCAGTGCCCGAGTATCGACCTCAGTGTATTTATGGGTGCCGCTCACCTGTGTTTGAGCATCTGCTGGGCTCCGTTGGTCTGCAGAACCGGGGTGCAGATGTGGAACACCTGACAGCCAGTCTCCATGTCGGCGTAGTAGCCGTACGGCCGGCCGTCACAGCTGCAACACCGCAAACACGAGATCATGTCAGAGAAACTGGCCAAAAGGGTGCGTAGAGCATTAGCTGACGTAATACCCGTAGCTGCCGTGTGTTCAACCGCAAGAGCTTTGCTGTACTAGTGAAGTGAGGGCTGAATAACCATCAATCAATTCAGTGGAACTTTGCAGGCTGCTATGCTACTAGCTCAGGGAGCCAACAATCGTTCCTCGTATTTCCTCTTGAGAATTCATGCCTATTTTAAAATAACCTGGCAAACTATTGCACATCTCTATGGCATTTATCTTTGAATATTTCATACACCTAAGATAAAACATCAATAACTGTCAATACACATAATTATACAGAACAAAATGGTTTATCGCAGGTCCGTTTGGGACTGCACTACACCTAAACTTACCCTAGCGGATGCTATGTTTGAAGTGGTGTCCTACGATGAACCTGCCGAGCCAATGTCGCAAGCCGATTCCAAGAAGCGTGGCGAGCGGGTGTCGTCGGTTGACACGCAGCCCCCCCCCCCTCGAGTGTTATTTGATCACCGGCGGACGTACCGGGGAAGGGCACGGTGACGTAACTAGATCGACCTATAGCGGACGATTATATAGTAGGCGTCGTCAGTGTGGCACGTTCCCCGCCCTCGGGTAGTTCCGCTTATTGGTGGGACTTGAGATGCTAATTGGATGCTAACTTCTTGGAATGTGATCACCAAGCCAATGCCGCTTAAAAAATGTAGCGAACACGCAGCGAGTAGTGCAATATCTGTGTGCATAAATGTGTTAAAATTAGTTCGGGCACTGACCTGAACTGGGTGACGGACCGGTCGCCCACGACGGTCCCTCCTCCTGCCGGGAGGGTGCTCTGGAGGTCGCCGACGGTGTCCGAGCCAGCACCGCCTTCCAGGGGCTGCTGGAAGCTGTTGGTCGCTGGCTGCAGGTGCTGCCCCGAAGACTGCCGGTTCGATTTGTCGACCTGCGACGGTGGAGGACGGGGGATGTATGATTTCGTGGCAGTTTTCCTCGTGCGTAGCTCAGGGCGGAACGCGTCGCGACTGGGAGTGACAGGAGAGGGCGTCGAAGTGGTGGGTGAAGGAGAGGATTGGCGGCTGATGGCTTGATATCGTCGCCCTCGAATTTGCTCCGGACTTGGCTGAATAGCTTGGATGCGAGAGAAGCCTGGAGCGAGGATATCTTGTACTGCTGCACTTGGAACTTCAGCACTTGGCTGCTGTGAGACTGTATCTGGCTCGCTACCTGGCTTTGGCTTCCTGGGGGACGCTGCAGGCGCCTCAACCGTTCTTTGCAAATCGTCGCGAGGAAGATTATCGTCTGTTGTGCGCTCAGCGACTCCAAAAGGCTTTTGCGTACTGGCCACAACTTTTGGCTCCTTTCTGAACACAGCAAACGCATCGGGAGAAACCTTTGTTATGGACGGAATGGTAACGGCCTTATCTGCAATTACAGATGGCAGCCTTTTTCGGATTACTTTACGAGTAATCTTTGCTGGTCTTCGTCCTCGGCCGTTGCGATTCCTTTCCTTGGTAGCTGGCTGGAGTGTGGCTACTGCAACAGCTGGCCAAGAAGTGATGCTATCTTCTGGCTGAGCCTCTGCGGTAACTGCGGGACTCTCCGAGGTGGCAGCGGTCTGCAGTGACGCAGGCTTGGTATCTGGCGATGGTGATGGCGTAGCGCTAGCTGACGGCAGGGGCGCATCTGTAGTAGATGATACCTCGAATGGTGTCGTGGTGGTAGGCTGTTGGAACTCAGTGGAAGTCTCTGCTGGATCGGGGGCGACAGTTGCAGAGGTGATTTTGCGGGAGGTAATTGGCGTAACGACCTTGACAGCCTTCTGGCCTCCGCGACGCTTGATAACCCTTCTTCGAGTGACCTGCCGGAATGGAGACTTGTCGGACGAAGAGCCGATAGTATTAATTCCTCCGGGACCACCGCTTGCACCGCGAGCGCGAGCTATACGGGGTCTAACGTCCAGGGGCCTGACAGGTGAAGCACCATCCGAGCTGAAGTCCACTAGTGTTGTTGCCTCTTCTGTCGGTCGTCTGCGAGCCTTTCCTCTCGCTTTACCGTTCGTTCTGGGGGAAGGAGGGCCCCCTGTTGACGAGCTGGTCACAACTTTCCTAGAAATACCAGGTGTGGACGATTTGTCCGGGTTTCTAACACGAACGCGTCTTCGGATAACTGTTGGGGAAGCTGCGGCTGCACCATTGTTCTGCTTGCTACCGGAACTACCAGTCCGAGAATCGGCATCGCTCAAGACACGCCCTCGTCGACGAATTACTTTTCGCTTAAGGGGGATAACTGACGATGCGCCAGTGGATCCATCAGCACGTGCAACGCGAGGCCGTACGAGCAGCGGCTGCACAGAGGGCACTTCCGGTGAGGAGGCCACCAATGCTGAAACACTTCCCAGCGGACGCCTACCTCGCCGCTTTTGTGAAGGGGATGAAGTTGGGTGAGCAGCTGCCGAGTGATCTTTCCTTCCGCCTACTATCCTACGTCTTTTGATTGGCGTTTTGGAACTGTTGGGGGAGGAGCCATTAGGTGCCGTGGTTGAAGTGATAGCTGAAGATTTGTCTTTGGAACTGAGACTAGGTCCCCGCCTTCTAATGATCTGTCGGCTTCTTGATGAGGCGCCGGCTGGGCGTTTGGACTGGGAAGACGAGCTTGGCGCGTTCTTAGTTCTCTTGATCACTCGCCTCCTGACAGGGCCTTGGAGAGATGATTTAATCTTTTTACCGTCTGAAGCACTTGCTGTTACTGCTCTCTGCCTGGCCTTAGTGTTGGCTTTCGTATTATCTGGTGTCAGGGTCTCGACAGTTTGAACTTCATCGTTATCTTCTTTTTCTGCTGCCGAGACATGGCCAACGACACGCATCCGTTTTCTCATTATCTTTCTCCGATGCTGGTTACCGCCTGATGCAGACTCTGCTCCCTCCTCTTTTCTCTCAACACCGGCAGGTACCGCATCATGGTCCGCGGACGGCACAGGCAGGTACCCGAGCTTTTCAGAGGCCTCGATCTCAGGGAGCGAGCCGCCGTCTCCGGCAGCGCCTGGTGCCGTGGACGTGTTAGCCTCCTCCGGTGAGCCCTGGCCGCCTCCTGCGGTGGCCAGCAGCAGGAGGAGAACTGCTGTGAAGCAATGAAAAAGGACAATGTAGTGAGTGAAAGGTAATTATTCGACCCATCCTGTTGTTTAATTTGAGCATTAATTAGACATGCTTAAAACATTTTCCCGAATTTTATGGGCAAATTGCATCGTTATTTTGCCTCGCGCTATGAATTGTAATTCATTTGTCAAACTAATTTTCTGTGTAGAGCGACCGTTTTATTCCTCAAGCTATTTACCAGTGCTCAAATAATGTCATGTGCCGGAGGACAAAGCAATGATGTGACCCGTTCCCTGTCTGAGATGATGAGGGCTGGAGAAACATCTTGTTGCCTTCTGACGCGATTGGCCCAGTAAGAGGTGCGACTGTGACAATTATGTATGTGTAACAGTACGAGTATATGCAACAATCCATGTCGACCTACAAAAAAGGCTGCTTACTCGTTCCAACCATGCTATTCTCTCGTCAAATCGTCTGCTGTCATCTATGTCTGGAAGTTCAATTAATAATTATGCATCGGTTCACTTGATGGAGTTCTATAGCCTTGGATTGAGCTGTACAATCTGTTTATGTAAACACTGCCCAAGTAAATACTTCAATAATTCGATATGAAGCGTATGCTCAGGCATAATAGAGATCCTAACAATACACGATCATATAATTTATGATATCAATATTCAAAATATTTATGGGTCAGCTAAGTTACACTTGGGGCATTCCAGGACGATTCAACAGGTGCATAACACCCGACCCCCTCAGATTTGCTTCTAAATTGCTGTACAGGGTTATTCTGTGCCCAGAAGCCGAATCTGAAATTGTCAGACCCGTAGAAGCAACAGTTTTTGAGTTATAGCATTGGGAAATTTTGGAAAGTTAAAAAACATAATTGTATTTTAGTAGCTATATCTCTTCGAAAACTTTTATTAAACTATAAAAATTATACATATTTGAACTCGCCACATCACAAGCTTTCTGATGGTTTGCAAAAATTTTCAAAATTTTGAATTTTTTAATTTTCCGAAAATAGTTCAAAAATTTATTTCAAATTTTTCAAAGTGTGGCCAGTTAAATAAAAATTATTTTTTTAGCTTTTATTAATGCTTAGGGTATTGGGAAACTATATTGTGAAAATTGGAGATAGGTATTTTTTATAAATATTTTATTTTATTTTTTTACTTTCTCCATGTAAATATACCATTTTGCTTTGATATGGTGCCGACGGTGCTATCTCGGGAACGGATGATCGTAGCGCGCCGGACGAGGCGGCAATGGAAAGATCTCAACGAGATGGATCTAGACATTGTCCGAATGTTGTTCTTAAAGGTCACGGGTCAGGTCAAGGTCAGGTCAAAGACCAAAATTCCAGGTTCTCATTCCCCGGCTGCTCCTGAGGCACATTCATAATGATGAAGCGATGTGAAAATCGCACAGCATGCGTCCAACATATTTATAAAGGCGGTGCCAGTAAATATGCAATCACAAGGTGAGGTCAAGGTCAAAATCAGGTCACGAAAGGTCATGATGAATAAACAGGGATTAGGGACATGCGACACATGTTTTATGGGTTATTTTCCGATTCCAAGTCAATGGTGATGGGCATTTGACCATTCGGAACCAAATCAGGTCAGATTAGGCCAATGCCGAGGTCAATGTGTAAAGTTGCTGTTTCTATGTCGGCATTAAAATACCTACCTAATAAAATTGTATGATATATGGCTATACTAGAGTAATGAGTGAAATGAAATGAATAATTTTTACATTTGTCTCCGTTTCCAAATTTCCATTTGGCCCATCCCGAAACCTATCGCTATATCATCTGCGCCTGTGACAGACCAGTCTCTGCGAGCTCGGCTCGCTCGAATGAGCCTTGGCGCGGTGACAGACGACGCGCCGGTCCATGCAGTCAAAACAGCACAATAAAATCATCGGGTGCCATAAACGCATAGGGTGACGTTGGTCGCTGGTCACAGCTGCGCGGGCCAGTTGCGGGATGGGGACTCCAGTCTTCCGAAAGTCACCGCATGCGACAGTGCGTGTGAACCGTTCGTGCTTGGAAATGTCACCACGTGCAGCAAGAAATTACTGCCAGGATCCGTTTGATTGTCATCATCCGAATCGAGTGCTGAAAGGAGTTCAGAGAGTATCCGCAAGACTAGTGAGTGAAGTGAATGACGACAGGGTAGGAACTGGTGCATTTTTATGCGTTTTCTTGCCGGAAACGACTGCTTAAAGATCCAAAATGTCTACCGCCAAGAGAACGGTCATCGCCGATCCCTTCGAGCAGCCAGCAAAGGTCACCAAGTCTTCCAAGCGACAATGATCCTGCCACTCAAAGGAGCTCATCACTCGAAAGTGAAGTCGCGAGGCAAGAAACGAGCGAAGTCCTTCACCTTCTCGGAGAGATGCCACTTCGACCTAGTAAGAAAAAGTGTCCATACTGTTTTCGTTATTAAAGGTAGTGTGCCAGCTTTCTTGGACCGTATGGAGTTAATGGCCCAGATAAGGAGAACCGGATTTTTAGAACTTATCCATACCTTCAAAACTCATGGAAACGTCTTAAATTCATCAAATTTTGAGTACCCCAGTGCGAAATTCGCCCCGACGGGTTGTCGGTCGTACCCCAACCACATTTCACACCACTATGAACAATAAATGCACAGACTGAAATCGCTATTACCGATATGCTCATCCAATCAAGTTTCGATAAACCCGTTCATCATCATCTCCTGCGGTTTCGAACACGCCTGTTAGGTGGCTTCTGATGCTCGTCGAGGTCGGAATTTCCAAATACGCGTGGTGCGTCGGGCCGCGCGCTCTGACTTCGGCCAAGAAAAGTGCGTCAGCTGAT